CTTCAAAAAACTATCAAGATACAAGGATCTTGAAATGAAAATCTCATAAATGTGGCACATGAGAACATCAATAATTCCAGTTGTAGTTGGAGCACTCGGATTGATTGGAAAAGCTTCCGATGGTTTACTTGAAGGGATTCCTGGTAGCTCATGCCTTAAAGAAATAGAAAAAGTGTGCTCACAAGTACAGTTCACATATTATGATCTTTATGTAAAATTAGATTAAAAGCCACTCTATCGGGCGGCAATTAAGCTAACTCCTAAACTGTGTATTCGGCTTGTTCAAGAGTTTGAGAGTCCCTAATTCTTTACAAATTCTCAGCATTGGAAGCTCTCTCGGCTGCCGTTTGATCTGGGTTTTCATTTGCACGGAGCTTTATTTTCCTCGCTGCAGACTTGGCTATTTGGATTACAATCTGATCCTTTGTTGGCGGAGATTTCTTTTTGCGAGGCATACTCCTGCCGTATGCGAGAGGTAACAATAAACTACAGAAGGATTCAAAATTGATCTCCACATTTAAGTATTGCATTAATATTTAAGCTTACGTTTTAAAAGTTCAACGATAATTTTTCTGCCGAACCTTAATTTAAATACAATTTGATGTACGTGAGTCCTTTCCGTACAAACAATTATTTTTATTTCCAAGTTATAAAAATTGTTATCCTACAAAAAACTTTGTCGCAAAAAAAAATCATGCCAAACAATCGCTGAAACAATCGCAGTAATGAAAACTTGGAAATCCAAAATTCAGGATTGCTACCCTGAATGTTTTTAATTTGCTCACGGAGTCGGCCTGATTGCAAAATGGTATATGTTGGGTTACGGCCTCTAGGAGTAAAATTGAAATCACGGGCAATTTTATTTTGAAACACTGTAATTTGAAAACTGTATTCTTTTCATTTGAACATGAGCTATTAAAAGTTAGAGAGTTCTGTCACTTTGTTTTTATCAGTAGAAGCCAAGATGGCAAAATCCGAAAAAAAATCACAGTAATGAAAACTTGGGAATCCAAAATTTCTGGATTGCGGATCCGGATCTGGCCCGGGATGTTGTTAGTCTGCTGATGGAATTGGCCTGATTCCAAAATGGTGTATGTTTGGTTTACGGCCTCTAAGAGTATTGTTGAAAAACTGTGACACAGTGGCACACTGACATTCCCATTTATTATATAGATGTATGTGATTTTAGGTTGTTGTTTTGTTGTTGTTTTGTTTTTGTTTCTTGTTTTTTGTTATTGTTGTTGTTTTGCAAAAAGGATCAATGGGAAATGTCATGAATCAGCCCGTGCTATAGTTTTGAGCCACTTCCCAATAATGCGGAATGCTGGGAATCGTCTCCCCAGGCTAATATTATCGAAAGATCACTTCCTTAACTGACCCTGCCGAGATTCGAACCCGAATCTGAACACTAACGTTCTAACCCCTCAACCACCCGGCCAATGAAGTAACGTACGTTCAAGAATATTATGCTTAAATAAATACACAAAAAATAAAAAGGGGGCGTAAGACAAGGCTTTGCCTTCTCGCCGGATTTATCCAATCTTTACTGTTAAGTGATCCTGAAAGAAGTAGAAGTCCTACCAGGATTAAATTGTTAGCGATCACAATCTTAACGTTATATCGGCAGATAACAGGGTGTTGATAATTGGTATAGAAAGGAAAGTACGGGAACTCCTAGAGAATATAATAAAGGAAAGTAAGAAGAAAAGACTAACTATCATTTGTAAGAAGACAGAATCTATTGTTGTCAGCAAAAAGAACGCGGATATGAAGGAAGTAAGCTACAGGAACTCCTACAGAAGGTAGTTAAGGAAAGTGAGAAGAAAGGACTAACTATAATTTGTAAGAAGACAGAATCTATTGTTGTCAGCAAAAGAAACCGCTCCAGATGCAAAGTATGAATCAAACATTGGAATCAAACAAGTACGAAAATTTAAATATCCAGGTAATGTTTTAACAGAAAAGGCAAGCTGCTAAAAGGGAAATCCAAGAACGTATTGGAATAGCGAAATATGCCTTCCAAAAGATAAGCAAATTATTAAGAAACAGAAAAAATCTCTAAGATACAAAGAAAAGAGGATTAAACTGTTATGTAAGAACGGCCCTCCTATATGTCAATGAATAATGGACAATCAATACAGGAGGATAATGAGGATGCCATGGACCGGACATGTGAACAACAACGAAGTTTTAGAGAAATTGGAAACAAAAAGGAATCTTATATATGACATCAGGAAGATACAGCTGAAATTTCTGGAACACATAATGAGGAAAGAGGGCTTGGAGAAAAAGAAAAAATCTCTAAGATACAAAGAAAAGATTACTAAACTGTTATGTAAGAACGGCCCTCCTATATGTCAATGAATAATGGACAATCTTCTCAAAGATGAACAAGAAACTTGAGACAACAGGGGAATAGTTACAATAGGCTGAGCAATGACGAATTTTTTTGTTGTTATTAAAATTCTAAACAGCTTTTTAAAAATCATCCGTTTTAGTTGTTTCTGCTGTTGGAAGTTTTCAAGTGATGTGGGTTTTGTTATTTGTTAAAGCTCTTTGTTTTAGATTATGCAGCGCCAATCCATATGGCCTCATGAACTATATCCGTTAAAATCTGGAGGATTAATTCGATTGCAGCCATTTTTAATCATTGAACTAGGATAGCAGTTATATATAGCTGATAGCGTAAATATTTCTGAACAATTACACTATGTATATTGTTAGGACTGTTGTTCTCATCTTTATTGTCATATTCACGACGTTTCGACCGTTGTACACTCTGGCCTTCTTCAGGGGATATACGTTGGAATTTTGAATTGAACCCTTTATTTAGTCTACCGGGGAAGATTGTTCTATTGCTACATGCCATGCGTTTGGATATCTTAGTTTCAGTTAATTCCCTTGGTAACGTGAATATGGATAAAGATCAACAGTCCGAACAATGTTTCAGTTAATTACAATACCTCATCTCAGAAATATAGACAAACGTCCCGTGAAAATATGGAAAATTAAAAAAGGCAATAAAGATGATGACAACAGTCTGAACAATGTAAATAGTGTAAATAATTACAATACCTCATCTCAGAAATATAGACAGATATTGAAGGATCGGTACAGACCCGATATACCGAAAATATGGAGACAATTAGAAAAGGCAATAAAGATGATGGACAACAGACCGAACAATGTAAATAGTGTAAATAATTACAATACGTCATCTCAGAAATATAGACAGATATTGAAGGATAGGTACAGACCCGATATACTGAAAATATGGAGACAATTAGAAAAGGCAATAAAGATGATGACAACAGTCTGAACAATGTAAATAGTGTAAATACTTACAATACCTCATCCCAGAAATATAGACAGATATTGAAAGATCGGTACGGACCCGATATACCGAAAATATGGAGACAATTAGAAAAGGCAATAAAGATGATGACAACAGTCCGAACAATGTAAATAGTGTAAATAATTACAATATCTCATCTCAGAAATTTAAACAGATGTTAAAATCATAATTATTGTTGAGGGACTCAAGGAAGTATACAGTAATAGAAATGTCAAGAGAAAAACAGTACTTTTAACACAGTTTTTTGGTTACGGAAATTAAATATACATGTTTCCCATGACAACGACAGAGATTTGGTTCTACTGAAGGATGTTGGGGATACCATAAACAGAAAATGTAAGCAACGACAAATGGAAGCAAAAAGGAAACTTATACTTAAGACCGTTGACATTTCTAGGGCAAATAATGAAGAAAGAGGGCTTGGAAAATCTGATACTCACAAGACAGATTGAAGAAAAGATGGACAGAGGAAAACAACGCAAAAATACTTAGTAGGCTTGAGCAAATGGATGGCGGAACAGGATTTGAGAGAAATAACACAAAGACAAAATTTATTAAGACCTACAATGGACGGGAAATTGTGGAGAGCCATGATCGCCAACATCCTAAGGGGACACAGCACATGAAGAAAATGTTGCTCACTTTTCTTTTTTTTATATTCCGGAACTCTTTCATGGCAAGAACATTAATCAATACGTTTTTTACGGCTTATCAACCGTTTGGAGGTCATTTAAAGCCAGAAAATATTTTTTAGATTGCAAATATAAAAGAGTACTGAACTGTTATGTAATATCTGTCCTCCTATACGGCAGTGAATGCTGGACAATATCCTCAAAAGTGAGGAAGAGACTTGAGGCAACATAAATGGGGTTCTACAGGAGGATAATGAGGATGCCACGGACCAGACATGTGAACAATAACGAAGTTTTAGAGAAAATGAAAACAAAAAGGAACCTCATTCATAACATCAGAAAGATACAGCTGAAATTTATGGAACACAATGAGGAAAGAGGGTTTGGAGAATCTGATACTCACAGAGACTGAAAGTAAAAGGGGTAGAGGAAAACAACACATAAAATACTTATTGAGCTCGTGTAAATGGATGTTGGGAAAGGGTTTGGGAGAAATGTCAAAAAGATAGAATTTATTAAGAGCTACAAAGGACGGGAAATCGTCGAGAGCCATGATCCCCAACGTTCTGAGAGGACACAGCACACGAAGAAAAAGGTTACGCACTTTTTTTTTTATACACCAAAACTCTTTCTTAGCACGCTATAATACAAATAAAACTATAACAGCTTCTACAATCGCTTCGTTTTCTGTTACTTTTTGTTATCATTACTGAAAATTCTAGGCTTGCTTCCCCGACCACACAATCTGATTGGTTCTTAGGGGAAACGAAGTTAGTTTATCTAATTGAATTCGTCAAAATCTGCCCCAGCAACGAGGAGGTGATTATCAAAGAGACTGCAGAACAGCCTCCTGTCACTTTTGCGTGAAAAAGAAAATACACAGATTCAGTTAAACGAACAGTGGACAGCGTGGAGACATACAGAAGCCTTATACCCGACTGACTAATAAATTTCTCATCAATTCTCCACGAACAGACATTACTATGGCGTCCAGAAATAAAATCCTTACCAATATGTCTAGGTATTTACTAAGATTTGCAGTGTGTGGCACCAGGATTACAAATCTGGGTTAGGGCCACTCGATTTGAAACAATAGTCAGCGAGACTAGTTTGACTGACCATTCCTACTGAATACTGAGTTTGATCCTCATTGGGCGCCCAAACAAGATTCGACAATGAGTACCCAAACATACCGTAAAATCAATCAAAGAATACGAAATCTGTAGCACATGGTGAGGATCGAATTCGTCCCAGTTGTAATTGTCTGTTCGAACTAGCTTCTTTTGTATACAATTATTATCATTTATATACGATTATGGCTATCCACAACTTCTTATCTCTTGTAGCCTCGAAGCAATGTTTGTCCCTTTATTATGCACCTCCTAGAAAGAGTGATAGAAGAAAGCTTGACAAAAGGACTAACTATCAACTGCAAGAAGTGAGAAAATATAATCATCAGCAAGAGAAAAAGCTCAAGATGCTAGTTACGAATTGGAGATGTAAACATCAAGCAGGTGCCCAAGTTCAAATATCTGGGAAGCGTTTTAACAGAAGATGGAAAATGCGGCACCGAGATCCGAAGAGGCATTGGACTAGCGAAATCCGTATTCCAAAACCTAAAGAATGTGTTGAGAAACGGGAAAAAATTCGTTAGAAACAAAGAGAGCGCGATTGCTATAGGATGTCAATGCTCTTTTGTGACAGAGAATGCTGAACAATTTCCCCACGGATATGGAAAACCTGGAGACAAGAGAAATATGGTTCTACAGAAGAATACTGAGGATTCTATCTATAGACGGAGTAAACAACGAGGGAATCTTGCTTCTTATGTCTTGGCCGACTTAGCGATTCTTAGCCAAAGAGGATAACGAATTTATATATTCAGGTTTTAAAATCAAACTATCAAATATCCGCGTTTTATTTTTCCTTTTCCAGTATTGACTTTTGGGACCTTTACAAATAAGCAATAGCTTCTTTATTGATGACTTTTATAATTAGATTGCTTAGTTATTCAAATAAAGCCATTTTCTGCCTTGGAACTGCTAACAACCATGGAATTTTACATTTTGTGGTGATATTAATGAGCTTAAGCATCTGTCGAAGACTTTTTATTAGTATATATTGAAAATTAACATTTCTAAAATCTAACATTGTTAAATCTAACAAGTCTAAAATTTAATTTCTGAAATTTATATTTTTTAAGTATTGTTCGTTAAAGCTTTTAATTTTCATGCATAAATAATCAAAAAAAATATTTACTTATGTGACAGAGAATGTTGAACCATCTCCACACGGATGGGGAAAACCTGGAGGCAGGAGAAATATGGTTCTACAGAAGGATACTGAGGATTCTATCTATAGATGGACTAAGCAACGAGGGAGTCTTAAAGAAAACGGCAACAGAAAAAAAGCATTTATGCTCCGAATCAGGAAACAGCTGAAATTCCTTGGATCCATAAGGAACAAAGAGAAATATTGAGGTCAAGAAGGTTTCGGGGAAGGCAGCCATTAACTGACGAGTTGTGTGAACGGATGGCGGAACGGGAGCAGGAGCCTTAGCAAAGCGAGAAAAACTGCTAAGAACCACACGAGATAGGAAGTTATGGAGAGCCATGATCGCCAATGTCCTGAAGCTATGAAGCACATAGAAAAAGTCTCTTGGCAGAGGATAAGCCTGTGTTCATTTACACATACACACACACATACACAAATTGGTACCGAATTTTTTTCAGCTGTCAAAGAAGTGATTAAAAATCAGATGTTTGGTCAGTTAGTCAGGTTTTTGAAATTGCACAAGGTCAAGGACTCTTTAACACACATACACGTACAGTCATGTGACTTTAAGAAATAAAAAAAAAACTTGATTAATAATTGAGAATTTACTTGATTGGTAGTGCCCCGCCATCATCACTGTAACGGACCTGTAATTATTCATTAGGTTTTGTTTGGTAATGGTTCCCTCTTAAAGTAATTTTGATGTATCATATAATTATAAATAATAGCCAAAAGTAAGAGAATTCAAATGAGAATTTAAAAAAAAATGTCTGAAGATAATCATGATTAAAAGCTGGAATCTAAATGACATCAATTCTACTTTAGCGGTTGTCTATTTTCCTCTCTTATTATTGCCTTCATTCACTACTTTCTCGATTGAATACCTACTGATTATAAAATGGAGTAGAAATACAGAAATAAAAAAAAACAAACTTGAAGCCACAACTTCTATCTCTATGCCCCTTGCCTCTTAGTGGCATTATCGGCTTTCTTAGGATTAATGATTAAAAAGCAACTTTGGTCCAAATGGTTCTTAACTGCAGAGGTTCATGATGGTTGGATGGTAAAATACTACTGATCGCTAGTGTGGTCTTGGAACACCTTCAACAAGAACATCTTTTGTAATTTGATTAGTTGATGATGCAATTCTTAAATACTGTATGAGATAAAAATGCATGAGAAAACATCTTGGCATTTACTATTGGGAACATAAAACCAATGCGTATGTGCGGAAACAGATTGAAAGTTTTGTGGGCCATCAGGAACCTCTTCTTGCCACTGTCAAACGGAGAAAAATGGCGTGGTTTGGACACATTGCAAGGCAGGACATCCTGTGCAAGACCATATGAAAGGCACCAGTAAAGGTGGACGTAGGAGAGGATGCCACACGCAAAACCTAGTGGGACAACTGGTCAAACAATGGATAGGCATGACTATACCAGAATTGATGATGGCTGCCCTTGATAGACCGTTGTGGAGGAGATTCAATATGGCTTCTGCATTCTGATCCCCACTACGATTATAAAAGTCAAGGAGATGATGATGAGGAGGAGGAGGAGGAGGAGGATGGATGACGTTAGCCAGAATTTCAAATTTACATATTCTCGCATCATAACCAGTTATTTTGAGCTTTTATCAACTTATTACTCGGAGAAGGTGTTACCTGTTTTATAGCGAAAACAAAAATCCAAATGACAACTTATCTCTATCTATAAAAGGTAGGATGTGTGTGTGTGTGTGTGTGTGTGTGTGTGTGTGTGTGTGTGTGTGTGTGTGTGTGTGTGTGTAACGAATGCACAGCCGCAATTTTCGACGGATTTGCACCAAAATTTACATGCACATGCTCCAAGTTAACGGGAAGGCCAACACCGACTTTGCATTTCCCAACTCCCATCGATAGTGGAAATAATCGATTTTTTCATGCTTCTACGACAGTTTTCATGTAGTTTGCGGCCATTTTGTACTGGCCAGAGTGAGAGCCTATAGCTGGCTGCCACGAATAGACAGGAAGATTCTATTGGCTAGCGTGAGAGGCAACAACTGACTGACACGAATGTTAACTAGCATGCTAGCATGCAAAAAAAATCGATAACTGCATTCGTCACAAGTGGGAAAAATTTAAATCTGCATGGCATTTTGATTCTGATTCCGCAGAACTGGGTTGGGTGTGAAAAAGTATTTGTTGTTAACATTCTTTTTTCATTCGGTTTTTCCAGTTACGAGTCCTTTTTTAAAGCTGATCGTTTTGTGTTCATTTTGTTTAAAGCTGATCGTTTTGTGTTCATTTTTTATTTCGTAATAGATTTAATGTTTAGTATAGAGCTTAGAAATTCGCAGTGTGAGATAGGCAAGAAGTAAGGCATGTAGCAACATCAGCACGGCAAAGAGCATTCCTTTAAAGGCAAGGAAGGGCAAAAATATTTTAAGTCAAATGATAGCGATTGCTGTATGAGTCGTACGATTTTTAAATCAAGCACGGGCAATGCCGGGCCATGCGGCTAGTAACACTATATAACGTGATTTTTTTCCTTGCTTAGCAACTGTTATTTCCTATTTGCTTACGCCTAGAAAGTATGAAAAATAAAAATAAAAACTTTGCTTTTGTGACCAAGGTAATGACATTTCTGAAATTTACATATTCCCACTGGGTAAAGTGGCGAATGTGAACATTCTTGTTCACCCAAAATAAGAACAAAACGAGATATGATTCAAAAGTAGCTTTTGTTTTTGCTGTGATTGCACGAGAGAAACCACAAAAAATTTAGGAGTGATTAGTTTTTTCACGATTTGCACTTGTACTATAAATTACTTTCACTTTTCCTCCAAATATAGTCTCCCTTCATGTTTTTGTTATACGATCCATTCAAAGTTCAGTATATCCTGGTTGAAGCGCTCGCTCTGCTCCTCTGAGTATGCCCCCATGCTCTCCTTGAATTTATCAAAATGAGCGTCAAGGATATAGATTCTCGATGGCATCCGGCAGTTCATTTTGCCGTAGTTCTTCACTTGGGCCTCAAAAAAAGTGCCACATAGTTTTCGACCTTGTGATACCCCAGGAATCCCAGAACTACTGCGACAAAGATGTTCCACAGAGCTTTCTCCGTCCTAATAAGCATCTTGGAGAATTCCTCGCACTCTATGACCTTTATTTGTGGTCCGACGAAGACACCAACTTTGACTTTTGTTGCAGAAATCCAAGTTTTGAATGTACTTGAAGGATGCAGACTCCTTATCTAGAGTTGTAACAAAATATTTCATCAGACCCAATTTTAAGTGCAGAGGAGAAAGTAATATTTTCCAGAGGTCCAACAGTGGCTCACATTTGACGTTTTCAACACCCCCCCCCCGCCATACTGAACTCAACCCGCTGTGGCCACTCCCACCTGTGGTAGTGTACCATGGTGTCCCTGCTGTCCCAAGTTCCCAGCCGTACCCTTCATACTTCACGGTATCTCAGAAGATCTTGACGCTGCGAGTTCGCCAGTGGAAGGGATGGAAACTGTTCGCGTTATGAAGCAGTACAGCCTTCAGAATCGTGGATGAGCTGTCGATGAAGAACGCCGCCCGCTGGGGTTACAGACGATTCCAATTGCTTCGAGCAGACCGGTCACATTGTGGTAGAGGCAAAACTCATCCTGCTAGGCGAGAAAGCTTGAAAATCACTGGTGACACTTTCTCTGGCTTCCGCCTTGCACAATTCCGCCTAATTAATTCCACTGCTTGAGTCTCGACGTCAAGAAGCTCGGTATTGATCTTCGTGAAACCAAGATCTCTGATCAGATCGATGAGGTCTTTTTGATTGGAGTTGTATGGGTTTCTCTCCTCAGGTGCATCAAGGACTTCATCCTCATCTCTTCTGTTCTCTTCGGAAGACTGCTTCTCTTCGGAAGACTGCTTCTCTCTCTTTGGAGGGGGTACGGAGAGCTCATGACAGTGTGACTCCGGGACGATGGATGAGAGAAGGTCTGGATATAAGCGCATTCTTGCCAACTCGACGTCTGGAAGGGTCCACCATTCAGAAGATGCAATTGCTTTAGCGATAAGTCCAAATTCGTGGGATTGTGGTTTTTATTTTCCCCTATGTCCAGGTCACAAAAGCAAAGTTTGAAGGGAATAATAGTAATTTCGTTTGCTTTCTAAACAAAAGCAATTAGAAAATAATACTTACTGACCAAAGACTAAAAAAGCCAAAATTTTGTTACACGGTGTAATTCAAGTGTTAATATAATAAAGAAGAGATTTTCATCTATTGGGACTGATTGCTTCTTTATATGCATTGTTTATTCTGGTTAGCTCAGGGCATTGATTAATTTATTAAGATCATTTTCTTACAATGATAGTTAAGGTAGGGCTGACATTGTTGCAGGTGAAGAATACATACACGTGCACTTGTTCATGTTATACTGTTGGCAGAAAATGAATCACAAAAATGTGGAGAAGTTGATTGATATTGCATTTTGTTTGAAGACTGATTAAGTGCTACTGAAATATTCTTCTTCCGTGTGCCGGGACCCTTCTGGACATGACGTTCATGTGCCACCACAACCTTCCTCTTGTAGACAGGGAAAGCTCAAGGTAATGACAACTCATGCAGTCACCTAGAGTGACATGTCATGTGTTTGGGAACATACTTGCAATCATCAATGACTTTAGACAGATGAAATTCTTTGGCTTTTTTGTCAATAAAAAATGATCTTGTAAAGGAGATGGGTGCAGAAAGTGCCATGAAAAGATTTGCAGAATTAAAGGCTAGAAAAAAGTTGGTAGGAGAATAAATGTTTCCTTTAGCTTGTCTTAAGTTGTATATTATAATAAACTCTTTATTCTACTGTTTCAGTGCTGAATCTGTCCGGAATGCAATGGAAAATACATTAGTTTCAAAACATCGATATTCTGATGCCAAAAGCAAAATTTAAAGAGAATAATTGTCATTTCCTTTGCTTTCGAGACAAGAGCAATTAGGAAATAAGACTTACCAACCAAAGACAAAAAAATCAAAATTTTGATACACAGTGAATTTCAAGTGATGTCAATAATGTTTTTTTTTATGCAATTTCTTCTGAAGAAAACGCTGATATATTGAGTTGTGACGCTGGCAGGATTTATCACAATTATGGAATATTGCTGTCATATATGATCTGGTGCCCCCGCTGTTAGTTTTAGGGTCCTCGACAAAATCCAGAGACGGATATGCAATGTGATTGGCCCTGATCTGGCATCTCGTCTACAGTCGCTCTCTCACAGACGTATCGTCGCCTCCCTCTGTCTTTTCTACAAATACTTTTTACGGTAACTGCTCCGACGGGCTACTTTCGCTAGTTCCCAGACTGCATAAATTTAAATGTACAACTAGGCTGGATTCTCGGTTCTAGCCTTTCACTGTTGAAAACTTTTAAATATAGCCGTCTCTTCTACTCCAATAGCTTCATATCTCGCACCTCCAGTCTATGAAATTCCCTTCTTATTATTTGTTTCCCAGATAGCTATAATCCCCAACTATTCTAATGTAATGTCAATCGGCATCTCCAGATGATTTGATCTATTCCCTGTCTTTCTCTTCATTCTTTCCTCTATCACGCCTCTTTACTCTCGCTCACACTCCCTGTAGTTCCTTGCGTGCTAGTGGCATCCCCCTTGCTTGGGATGAAATGCTTAAAAAAAATTATGAAGGAGATCAGGTTTCAATTGCTTGATTAATTATCAATTCTGATTTTGCGGCTGTCTTTTTTCCTCTTTTATTATTGCCTTCAACCGCAACTTTCTCGATTAAATACCTACTGATTATAAAATGGATAAGAATAAAGAAATAACTTGAAGCCACACCTTATATCTCAATATCCCCTTTGCATCTTAGTGGCATTATCACCTTCCTTTGGAGGAATTGATTAAAAAACAGTTTGGCCACGGTGGTTCTTAACTGTGGAGAAATATGATTGTGGTTGGATGGTAAAATACTGCCAGTTGCTACTGTGGCATTGGAACAGCTCAACAACAAAATGTTTTGTAATATGATTTGTTGATGATGATGTAATTTGGAAATTCTCTATGACGTTAACCAGAATTCTAAATTTACATTTTCTTGCATCATAACCAGAGTTATTTTGAGCTTTTATCAACTTTTTATACTGGGAATTTTTGTACCTGTTTTCTAGGGAAAACAAAAACCTGACATGGTATCGTCTAATAACAAGAGACTTGAATTAGAATTCAAGTAATGTCAATGATAGTTTTTGATGCAATTTCTTCTGAAGAAGCTGCTGATATATTGAGTGGTGATGCTGACAGGATTTATCGCAAGAAAAAGTAATTAGTGAAGGAGATCAGGTTTTAATTGCTTGATTAATTGCTGCAATTAATGGTATTGATTTTTTTAATTAAACATTAGAATTCTGTAATGTCTTATGAATTAAATTATAAATGATTGTATAGTTTCTGTTTGAATTTCTGGGATGCGAAGTTATCATTATTTACATGTGAACTATTGTTCGCATCTTTGTTGTTGTTCTAACAATGTTTCAGCCATCGAGCCATCCGGACTTCATCAGATGTATGTTGATCTGGGTTACCTACAGGGAATTTAGAACTGAATCCTTTATTTAATCTACGTTGGGTAGATTGACCCTGGACATCGACAATGGAATAAGAACAATATACCCCTGTTCTGTTTGATCTGATCCTAACTTTGAATAGCCAGAACTCTAACTACTCCTCTTTTCATCTCTGACAACAACTGCACTATCATTGTCCCTCTCAGCATCGCAACAGACTGGAATGTGATCTAGAATGTGGCTGGATTATATAAACCCATGGCTGGTATTCTTTACCTTCCGGCTGAACGGCTCTTGATCCTGAGAGTTTTCATTTATTTATTTATTTATTTATTTATTTCCATTTTCCCTATTTTGGGCAGTGGATTCTTGTTCGCATTTTTGTTGTTACTCTCACAACGTTTCAGCCATCAAACCCTCCGGACTTCACCAGATGTCGATCCAGGTCACCTACAGGGAATTTTAAACTGAAATCTTCATTTAATCTATGTGGGGTATATTGACCCGAGACATCGACAGTGGAACGAGAACAATCTACCGCTGTTCTGTTCGAAAATTTGATTTTCACTTTTAATAGTAAGATCTCCGACTGCCTCTTTGTCCATCTCTGACTACAATTGCCACCCCCGCTGTCCTTCTCTGCATCTTGACAGACTAGTATGTGATCTAGAATGTGGCTAGATTATATAAATTCACGGCTGGAATTCCCTACGTTCCGGCCAAATGGCACTTGATCCTGAAAGTTCTTTTATTTATTTACTTTTTCCCTATATGTTGTCAGTAGATGATTGTTTTGAAGTTCACATATTGAGATCTTACCATTGGTTATAAAGCAACAGTTACTTCAGACACAAATAAAATCATGTAGGACTCACTTGACTTCCTGGGTTTTCTAATATCTGGATAGGTGTTACATCTTATGAATTATTGTTGTATAGTTCCTGTCCGAATTTCTAGGATGAGAAGTTAGCATTAGTAACATTATTTACCTGCGGACTATTGTCCTCATCTTTGTCGCCATCTTCAGACATGTGTCGACTCGAGTAGCCTACAGATAGTTTCGAGCTGAATCATTTGGACATGGACAATGGAACGAGAACAATCTACCCTTGTAGATTAGATAGGGATTCGGTTCGCGTGTGTGTAAATAATGTCTGAATCGGTGTCACATCAACATGTTCATCAAGTTACCAGTATTTGTTTGACATTGTAGAAAACCATAGCAAAAAAAAAATACAGCCAAATACATGACCATTTCTAAACATTTATATCGCTGTCTCTTCTGTCAAAACTGAGCTGGTAAATTATGAACGGAAGCAAAGTACTAGAGTGGCTGTTAGGTCTCATCGTTTTATGGTTGAAATTGCTACATGTAACCGTAAGTTCTATTCTAATAGTTCATTCTTTTGCGCTTCTCGATTATAAAACTCACTTTCGGTTCCTTGCTTTCCTGTCAGCTAAAAATTTACCTGCAACGCCAACATTACCTTCTGTCTTTTTAAAATCCATTCTTTTATTGTCCTTTCTACTCAGCAACGTTTTCTCAGTTTCTCCCGCTTTCAATTTAGGTGAGAGTTTAGAAAGTTCACTTTCTGACCATGTGTTGTGGCCTTGTTGGGGTCATAAATAAAGACACAAGAGAGGAATCAAGTTAAACAAATATATTAACAGAAACAGTAATACAAACATATACAAACGAGAGTGTTACAGCAAGAATGTTCGGTCTGACTGTCAGAGCTGACTGCTGAAAACTTCCCTCTCTCAAATGCATTACATGCTCCAATTAAAGCTGGGAGAGTCCATGCGTGTGTGGGTAAATTACCATAACACTATCTATCTATTTTATTGGTCAGATCTATCTATCTATCTATCTATCTATCTATCTATCTATCTATCTATCTATCTATCTATCTATTGTGCCTTGTTAGGGCCAGAAATAAAGACACAAAGAGAGGAATTGAGTTAAACAAATACATTAACAGAACCAGTAATATAAACATACAAACGAGAGTGTTACAGCAAGGATGTTCGGTCCGACTGTCAGAGCTGACTGCTGGGAACTTCCTTCTCCAAAAGGCAATACCTGCTCCTATTTATAGTAGAGTCCATGCGTGCGTGGATATATTACGATATCACCATGAGACCGGTGTTTGAATCTAACCATGGCCGATTTGTCAGCAAGGTGACTTCTTGATGTTATAGGTCTGGAGGAGGTGAACCCAGCGACGGCACCTTTGGAAAAATCATACCACGAGTTGACCCAAGCCTTGTCAGTGACTGAGTGTTTCAGCGTGCTGAACACGCGCTCTAAGGGCCGCTCAGCCTAGTTGCAGTATAAACCACGGTTGTTGTACAAACAGAAATGTGCCTGAGCAGGCGTCTGCAATGAGGATTAGCTATCCGCTCTAGTAGACTGGAATCCTCGGATTCGAGTGGATGCGCCATTTACTTTTCACTCTCAGAAATCCCCTGCATCTTAGTGGCTTTATTGCCTTCCTTGCAGAGAAATCATTTTTAAAAGAAAATAGCGTGAAGGGAACGAAACGGAATCGGCCGGGATTCGAAATCTGCTCGCCGATTTCACTCAAGAAACATGCAAATCATCACTTTATAGTTATTGTCAGTTTCATGCCTCAAGCGATTTTCATATTTGAAGCGTAAACTGACTCCCACCACGCAGTGTTGATTCCTACGTCCACACTCTCTATATCTATAAAAGCAATGAGCACTCTTCCTCCACAAATATATCAAATTTTAAACAATGTCGTACTATATCAAATGCTTTTTCGCAATCGATGAAACATAGTTATTTTTTTTTTATTATTGATTTCACCCCAAGCAAGGTAGTAAAGCCACTAAGACACAAGGGGTTAGTGAGTGTGGAAAAATTAGAAAACAGATACATTACTAAGGAGCAAGAACAAAAGCAGAGTAATCAGGATGACGATTGGCATTGCATTTACATTGTTGAAGATTAAATTTGACTGGAAAGCATGGAGTCGGAAGAGATTTCCACAGGCGAGAAGTACGTGAAAAGAAACTGTTAGCATAGAACTTACGGATACATCTAGCCAATTCAACTCTATATTGGTGACACCTCGTCGCTATCTGTCTATATTTCTGAGATGAGGTATTATGTACACTATTTACATTGTTCGGACTATCATCCTCATCTTTGTTGCCATATTTAGAAAAGAGTATGAGTTCAATATCTGGTTAAGGCGGTGGAGAACTTGGAGAGGGGAATTAACAGAAGATAACTTATAACTAACATCCATTAGACATGGCACGTGGAACTAGAACAATCTACCCCAGCGAACGAAATAAAGAGTTCAGTTCAGTTCGATATTCCAACCACCTGAAGAAGGCCGAAGCGTACAATGGCCGAAACGTTGCGATAAATATGGCAACAAAGATGAGGATGATAGTTCGAACAATGTAAATATTGTAGTTCGTGGCTAGTCTAATCTTTATGCATTTATATTGCCCACGCTGAGATTATTCTGATAATAAAGATAGCATTTCTTGTTCCCGTGTCTTAAACAGAGTCATATCATATTTTCGGTTTAATTCTGCGAGCGCTCTATTCTCTGATCAGCTTTGTAATGTGCTTCGTTAACTTGATTGTCTGATCGAGCTCGCATTAATTTGCACCTAGCTTCTTTGGCATCGCTGTGATCGACTAAAGTCTTCCAGTATTTCACCGCTGTCATATTTCGTTTATTATTTCTGTAATCTTGTCGACATCAAAATAGTCTATAGTTGATAGCATCTCTATTACATTCTTATCTGGTCTTGCTGCCTTCTGTTACTCTTGACGAGTGACAATGTTACCTTAGACTTTAATATTTCAGGTCCTTACGTGTTTTTATCATTCATCTGCTGTCGTTCCAGAATTTTCCGATTCTGTCTGCAAAACTTGTTTGTTTTCTACTATGAGTGTTTCTCTTTTAGGTTTTATTTTCCCTGTGGAGAAGTGTGACATCAACAATGTAATATTTTTTTCTTTCTTCTTTCTAAGAGTCGTGGCCGGAAATACAACTCTGCTTTCTGACCTTTCAATTGAGAGTTCTTGCATTATTTAAAAGTAGAAATCGCCGTGAAAATTTCATAATTTTCTTATTTTAATTTTCTGATGAAACTTAACTTTTAGTTTAATGATTGAATAATTTCGTGGCGAGTTCTACGACGATAAAATATCCGTAGAGCGTCCACCATTGAATCGTTAAATATTTGCGCTTAACAACTTCAACTAAATATTGGAATAACAATCATAAATATGAATGCTGGTCGTTATTTTAAGAAGTGGGTACAAATGAAATGATTTGAGATTGGCAACTCTTTCCATTTCACTGAAATATCCTTTAAATACAATCTTCCGTTCTTTTTTAAGCACATTAATTGTGTAGGATTATTTCGTAACTCGTGTCAGGTACCAAATATCAGTTTTAACATAATTTTCCTTGTATTTATCAGAAAATCATGATCTAGACCTCTATTTTTTTTTTATTTTTTTTTTTTTTTGTAGGAGATCTAAATCAAGTTTTGGCTCTGAAAACAGAATAGACCATTATTAAATAGGTATTGACAGGGCGTAACTGTCGTGCTAACTAAGGAACTAAGGGCGGGTCAAGCAGAATTATAATAAGATATTAAAGTTAAAACAGAGAATAAGTGTTATGGTCCGGTTCCTTGTACCACGGTGATAGTCCAAGGTAGAACCAATAAAGAAGAACTCGAATACGGATATGGAATAACACAGATATATTACAAACAGGAATATAAACAGAGAGGTAGAAAAGTGTTAGTACGAACAATCAGGTTTAGTAATAATTGTCTGCTTCCATGCATTGACGGATGGCAGATCTTCTATTATCACAATGTGCTATACTTAATAACAAAAATGATAAAAACCTGAAAAAAAAAAGAAAAAGACACTAAATGAATAGAATTTAACTAAACTATATAATCAAACACATATTAAACACATTAAATTGAAAAGTTTAAAATTTCTCAGCGTCTCCTCCCCTTCGTGCACGCGTGTAATCGCATCAACGTAAAGACTACTTTATTTCTACTGAACGAAACGCGTCGCACGAAAATTTTCTCCTCCTTCTCCTCTTCCTCTTCCTCCTCCTCCGCCTGCTGCTTCTTCACTTCCTCCCCCTCCTTCACCTTCTTCTTCTTCTCCTCCTCCTTCTACTACTACTACTACTACTACTCCTTCTACTACTTCTTCTTCTCCCCTCCTCCACCTCCTTCTACTACTACTACTTCTCCTCTTCCTTCCAAATCTTTCCCCTCCTCCTCCTTTCTTCTTCTTCTTCTCCCCTCCTCCTCCTTCTTCTACTACTACTACTTCTTCTCCTCTTCCTCCCAAATCTTCCCCCTCCTCCTCCTTTCTTCTTCTTCTTCTTCTTCTTCTTCATTTCAAGATGTAAGCGAGGTCTCAAAAAACTTCCCATCACTTTTAACCCTTAACAGTTTTTTCTCCCTTTACTAAAAGCTCCCGCAGTACTTTTCCGTCATCCATTCATACAATCTGGTCAGGTAAGTTGTTCACTGACTTATTCTAATTCTCTTGCCCTGAATATGTTCCTGTCAGGGTAAGTCCTTCTTTCTCACTATATGCCCAAGGAATTTCAGCCATCTTTTCTTGATTCTGAATAGAAGAGTTCTTTCTGTTATCATTTTCTTTAAAACTTCCTTGTTGCAGACCATGGAATTTTCAGAATCCTTCTGTAGAACTAAATTTCCTTATCAGTGGGAAGATGGTCCAGCATTCACTGCCATACAAGATGACGGATATCACATAGCATTCCCGGACTCTTTTATTTGTTTCTAACGATATTTTTTTCTGTTTCTCAGCACCTTGCTTAACTTTTGGAATATATCTTTCGCCAGTCCAATGCGTGTTCGGATCTCCGTGTCACATTTTCGATCTTCCGTTAAAATACTTTCCAGATTATCTATCTGTATATATCATACACCAAGTCTATGAATCGTGCGTGCGTCATTCGACGGGCGCATAATGATTTGAATTTCTTTCTACCTCTCTTTTTTCACCTCTTACTCTTTCTACCTCTCTCACTTCCCACCTCTCTTTTTTCACCTCTCCCTTTTTCCATATCTCTCGTTCCACCTCTCTCTTTCCACCTCTCTTTCTTGCCAGCCCCTCTCTCTTTCCACCTCACTTTTTTCACCTCTCTCTTTTTCCATCTCTCTCTTTCCACCTCTCTCTCTTTCCACCTCTCTTTTTTCCCCTCTTACTTTTTTCATCACTCTATTTTCACCTCTCACTCTCTCCACCTCTCTCGTTCCACCTCGCACTCTTTCCCCCCTCTCTTTCCCCCTCTCTCACTTCCCACCTCTTTTTTTTCACCTCTCTCTTTCCACCTCTCTCTTTTTCCATCTCTCTCTTTCCACCTCTCTCTCTTTCCACCTCTCTTTCTTCCCCTTTTACTTTTTTCCTTTCTCTATTTTCACCTCTCACTCTCTCCACCTCTCTCGTTCCACCTAGCACTCTTTCCCCCCTCTCTTTCCACCTCTCTCACTTCCTCTCTTTTTCCATCTCTCTCTTTCCACCTCTCTCTCTTTCCACCTCTCTCTCTTTCCACCTCTCTTTCTTCCCCTTTTACTTTTTTCCTTTCTCTATTTTCACCTCTCACTCTCTCCACCTCTCTCGTTCCACCTCGCACTCTTTCCCCCCCCCCTCTTTCCACCTCTCTCACTTCCTACCTCTCTTTTTTCACCTCTCTCTTTCCACCTCTCTTTCTTGCGACCTCTCTCTCTCTTTCCACCTCTCTTTCTTACGACCTCTCTCTCTCTTTCCACCTCTCTTTCTTGCGACCTCTCTCTCTTTCCACCTCTCTTTTTTCACCTCTCTCTTTTTCCATCTCCCTCTTTTCACCTCTCTGTTATTGAGTGCGTGCTTATTTATATTTCAGCTTTCTTTAAACAAACAATTTTTGAACATTTAAAAAATATTTTTTGCCATAGTTAAAAAATATTTTCAGGTGAATACGATTTCAAAATATTTTTTGGCATATTAAAGAAATATTTTTAAGTTAATCTGATTTTTAAAACAAAATAATTTAAACGAATAAGATTTAAAAATACGAGTTGTTTATACAGTAAGTATTTTTCTTTCAACATTCTTCAAACAGACTATTTGTTTTTTTATGTTGAAATCAACTTCATTGTTTTATGACCTGAACCATCAGCGCCCCAACGGGTCACGGGTCGTCTAGCAATAAATAAAATCGCGACAAATGCTCATGAATGTGCGTGGCATAGCAGGTTTTAACCGTGAAGGTGAGACCTAGAGGACCACTTCCCGTGGCAAATAGCGAGAGAGCAGCGAGAGGCATGCGACGTCCCGTCTGAGGTAAAGGGGCTGTCCGGGAAGTAGTATCCAATTATTTCCTTCTGAATAAAAGAGTGTCTTGTAAAGCCATATACCGTAGTGGTAGGTATTCATGTAAGTAGCTACAGTAATTGAATATTGTACTCTCTCCCTCAAAGATCAAGAAGAAACTCGACACGATGTGGTTCTACAGAAGGATGCTGAGGATATCATGGACCGAGCGTGTGAGTAACGATAAGATCTTAGAGAGGTTGCAAACACGGAGGAGGCTTTTATTTAATATCAAGAAGAGGCAGCTGAAGTTTCTGGGACACATAATGAGGAAGGAGGGTCTGGAGAATCTGATACTCACGGGTTGAATAGAGGGAAAGAGAGACAAAGAAGGAGGAGGCTTATACTTAATATCAGGAAGAGGCAGCTGAAGTTTCTGGGACACATAATGAGGAAGGAGGGACTGGAGAATCTGATACTCCCGTGTCGAATAGAGGGAAAGAGAGACAAAGGGAAACAACGTATGACATACCTGGTGGACTTAAGCAAGTGGATGACAGAACGTGGTCTAAGGGAGGAAGCAGAGGGAAGGAACTTGTTGAGAGCTGCAAACGATAGAAGGAGGTGGAGAGCCATGATCGCCTACGTCCTGAAAGGACATGGCATATGAAAAGAAAGAAAAGAAGTCCCTGTTTAGGTGAACTATTTACAGTCTCTGATATTACCATATTTAAATTAGATCGATTCATGATTAAAAAATGGTTTCCAAAGAAAACAATCCAAAAATGCAAATTACAAATTGGAAATACGAAAATCAAACAAGTATAGCTATTTAAATACTTGTGTAGCGTTTTAAGAGGGGGCGGTAAGTGCGACACTGAAGTCCGACGGCGCAGCGAAAGATGCCTTCCAAAAGCTAAGCAAATTATTTAGAAACAGAAAAATTTCATGAGAAACAAAACAAAAATGGAGTACTAAACCGTTACGCAATATAAATCCTCATATATGGCAGTGAATACTGGAGAATCCCGTCACAGAAGAAGAAGAATCTTAAAGTAACAGAAATATGGTTCTACAGAAGGATGCTGAGAATGCCATCAACTGAACATTGGAACAACGACGAAGCTTTACAGAAAACGGAAACAAAAAAAACATTTATACTTAACATCGTGAAAAGACAGTTCAAAAAGAGAGTTGAAATTACTAGTGCACATAATGAGGAAAAACGGCTGAGAAAATTTGATACTCACAGGATAAGTTAAAGGCAAAGAGGAAATCAACGCATAACCTACCAAAATTTTAGAGAAAATGGAAACAAAAAGGACACTTATACTTAACATCAGAAAAGGAGTGTTGAAATTTCTAGGGCACATAATGAGGAAAGATGGCTTGGAAAATTTGATACTCACAGGACAGATTGAAGGCAAAAAGGGATAGAGGAAAACAACGCATAACCTACCTAGCAAGTTTTAGTGAAAATGGAAACAAAAAGAAAACTTATACTTAACATCGGGAATAAACAGTTCAAATTTTTAGCGCACAAAATGAGGAAAGAGGGCTTGGAAAATTTGATACTCACAGGACAGATCGAAAGCAAGAGGGGCAGAGGAAAAAGCATAACCTACCTAGCGAGCTTGGATGTCAGACAAGGTATAGGAGATATGAGAAAAGAGAAAAATTAAAAAAAACAGGAAATTGTGGAGAGCCATGATCGCCAACGTCCTGAAGGGACATGGCACAAAGAAGAAGAACTCTTTTAGAAAATAGTAACAGAAAACAGGTTCGAACTGTATTTCAAGGACGTCTTTACTTTCTTTTGTTCTCTTTACTACTTATTTCATGAACTTTATCGTCAGATGTTATTTTGCCTGGGGTTGAAGCTCAAAGGTGGCCTTTCGGGGTGTAATGACTTCTGGTGAGAGGGGCGTAGCACAGGGATAAGGGTAGTGATGGGCCGGACTGGAAGTCACGTCTTGACCTTTTGCGGACAGTTGCGATGAACAAAGCCTGAAAATTGAGTTTTCTCGTTTGTAAAATTTGAAAAGCGAATTGCCATGTGCAAGACGAGATGACGGCAATATTTATTTGATTTGTCTCTTTCACTTTTAATCCATTTTTTTCCTGTTCCTTCTCTCGTCTATTCCTCTCTCTCTCTCTCTCTCTCTCTCACACACACACACACACACACACACACACACATACACACACTGACTCACTGTCTCTCTCCCTATATCTCTTTTTCTCTCATTAACTAAACTGTTTCTCTCATTAACTAAACTGTTTCTCCTATTTTGCTCTCTTTCTTTTTCTATCTTCTCTTTTTTATTCCTTATGCACACACACGCTCTCTCTCTCTCTCTCTCTCTCTCTCTTTAATTCTATCTATCTATCTATCTATCTATCTATCTATCTATCTATCTATCTATCTCATTAACTAACCCGGCTTTTTATATCGCCTTTTCTCTATTTTATTCCTCACATACGCGCACACACACAAACACACACACACACACACACACACACACACTCTTCTCTCTCTCTCTCTCTTTAAACACACACACTCTCTCTCTCTAATTCTCTCTCTCTCTCTTTAAACACACACACACTCTCTCTCTCTCTTTCTCTCTCTCTTTCTTTAAACACACACACACACAAACACACACACACTCTCTCTCTCTCTCTCTCTCTCTCTCTCACACACACTCTCTCTCTCTCTCTTTAACTATCCCGGCTTTTTATATTTTATATTAAGTCTCTTTCTTTATTTCCTATTTTATTCCTTATTTTCTCTCTTTCTCGAATGATGCACCAACCATTTTTTATCAGATTTTGTTTTTTCTTTCTTTCTGTCTTTCTTTTTCTATTACATCTCTTTTATTCTTTATGCTCTCTCTCTCACTCTCTCTCGCTCTCTCTCACTCTCTCTCTCACTCTCTCTCACTCTCTCTCTCACTCTCTCTCTTTTACGAATGAAGCCCGCACCTCTTTTTCTTATATTTTTCTCTCTTTTTCTCTTTTATTCCTTATTCTCTGTTTCTTTAATAAACCACATTCCTCTTTTTATATCCCATATTTTCTCTTTCTTCTTTTTCTCTTTCTTCTTTTTCTCTTTCTTCTTTCTATTATTCGTAATTCTCTCTCTTTCTCGAATCATGGGGTCTTCCTCTTTCTTGCTTCTTTTTCTTTGCCTCCGTCTCCCTTGGATCGGGTTTCTTACCTTTTTTTTTGTCCTTTTCCTATCTTCCTCCAATTTCTTCTTTCTTTCTTTCTCTTTCTTTCTTCATCTGTCGCTATCATCTTTCTTTCTTTCTTTTTTATATTTCTTCTTCTTAATATATTTTCATTCTTTTTGTCTTCTCTTTCCTTTTCTATCTTTTTCTGGATTGCTTTTATGTTGCCTTCTCCTCTTACCTTCTTATTCATCGGGGCACTGGGCATCCGTTAATGACTCTGGGCAATTTTATCGGGTGGATTTTCTAAAGCAGACAATTCTCGGCGATATTTTTTTATGACTGGTCAACGCCACAAGCCTATGACCTTACAAGGAAATGTTGGCGTGCAGAATCGATTCTAATATGACCATCTTTCTTGCACGTCTTTCTATCGATTCATTCGGTTACGATTTCGCGCATCTTATATATTTTTCGACATATCTCTTCAAATCTTTCACTTTCTATTTATTTTACACACAGACACACACACTGGAACGCATGATTTTTTTTTTACTTAATACTTATTTAAACGTATCGGGTTTTGGGTGTGGCTTATTCCCCAAATTACCACTCCAGAACGGTCCTAAAATCAATTTTCAATCGACTTTTATTTCATAGTTACCGAATTTTTCTACTTTGTCAAAATTACCGAATCTTTTAAGCTAGTTCGAAATATATATCTTAGTGCATAACTAGTTTTTGACTATCGAAAACACTTTGATTTGGTTTGGTTTATTTTGTTTTACGGTATATCAGCCTCAATGGGTTATTTAAAGTCAATAAGATTTTTAGGATAGAAAATAGAATATGTATTCTTTCTAAAAAATCAGTTTGTTAATCAGGTTTCATTGACGTATTTTTGCAAAGAGGGTTTTTGTCGAGAGTCAAATGTATTGCTGGTCATTTTTTTGTTTCGAAAATGTCATGCTGGTATTTTTACTATAAACAATCTATTTTTATACTTTCATAGTGTTTTGACCCCAGTTTCTTTTTTTTTGGGGGTAACTATTTGCCCATAGCTGGGACTCGAACAGGTGCTACCACCGCGTGCCAGGTTGGATCTGGGAATAACAGCAATTAAAAGGTGGTTTCCCGCTCGTCAAAACCTTCCGATCTTGCTGCCGGATGTAGTCTATCGTCATACCCAGGACGCGGAGGCACTTTGGACTTTTCTGCTTTGCTTTTCACTGAGTCACAAACGACTTCAGAAACAGAAGGCTATCTGGAAAGGACGCAATTATGTATTTAATTCTGCTAGCCATGTGATTCAATAAGGAACTTCTATAATCATTATGGCGAACTCTCCAAATATCCTACTGGGTCTTGTAGCTTAGTCCACTGGAAAGTGGAAATGATCAAAGCGCCTTCACTAATTAGTTATTGGCTATTAATATTATTATATCAATTATATTTAGGTCTTGGATATGACCTAAAACTCTACCTGACAATGTAGTCTCGACTGGAAGACATAATTAGGGTACCACGAACCATTGTTGCCTACAGGTGATTTATAGCTAAGATCAAGCACCTGATTCCCCCTTACTAGGGTTACGGCTATATATATATATATATATATATATATATATATATATATATGTGTGTGTGTGTGTGTGTGTGTGTGTGTGTGTATGTATTTAGGCAGCAATCCTTCTTTCAAACATATTTCATTGAAAAAGACAGCTTTTACCTTTTTATACAATTTCTCATGCGATCTAATAATTTTTTCCTTTTCGGATGATAAATTACATAAAAACTGTCCGAATGTTCTTTTTATCCGAGCGCTTTCTGCTATATATTTAGCCATTTTCGAGGATTAAATATTTAACTGTTAAATAAGAAATAGTTTGTTATACGTATATTTTATAAAATGTTTTCATTTTTCAAAAGATATTGTGTCCATGTTCAAAGTTTAAGTGTTGTTTTTTTTGTTTTTATTAATAAGGCTTCCGTTAGTTTTACCATTTTATGCATGTAGATGATGCTATTATATTAGTGTGGTCAACAAGTATGTTATGAATAGTGTGTGGTAGGTCTCCATGAATATTTAAATGAGATCTAATTGAGCTATGGTCAGAAAGGTGTAGAGTGAGTCTGCAAGTCAAACATGTTGTAGTGCGGCCTATATAATTATTTACGTATTTTGATTGATCAGGAATACAATTCCTTAATGGGCATTTAAATTCGTAAATAATATTTGCCCTATTTAATTTTATTCTAGGAGGTGAATTTTATATATATATATATATATATATATATATATATATGAAAAATATAGTTTTACGGTATGCTAGATTTATCGGTAAATATGCTCAATATCAGGGATATATATATATATATATATATATATATATATAAAGTGGACACACACACATATAATATATATGTATATATCATGAATGCAACATAGATTATATGTGTGTGTGTGTGTGTGTGTGTGTGTGTGTGTGTGTGTGTGTGTGTGTGTTGTTGCTGTTTTGTGGCTTATCAACATTTTTCAGGTTATTTAAAACCCCAAAACATTTTTAGATTGTAAGAATTTGGAGAAAATAATGATTTGCTGATACAAGTCCAACTATTTAACCCATAGGTGTATGGAGAAGAGTGGTGGGTTCATATAATATTTTCTTGTTTTAAAAAAACCTGCAAATGCTGTTAATCAATAAAAAAAGCAATTAATCAGTCACACACTCGTACACACATATATATGTAATCTTATATGTTGGATGTGCGGGTGGTGTAATGGATAACGGCTCGGAATTGAAAATCGGAGAGCAGGGTTCGTTATATTCACTTACGGTCAAATATCCTTGGGAAAGGTATGAATCCATCTCTTCTCCCCTGGCTATGGATTAATTAGTATAACTTGTATTAGTAAATCATTATTACTTCCCCCCCACCAAATTCTTACAATATAAAAATATTTTCTGGCTTTAAATAACCTGTAAAAGGTAGATAAGGCGCAAAAAAACATCAATCAGTCAATCGACACCGGTGCCAGTTCACATCACCGAAGTTAAGCAACGTTGAGCCTAGTCAGCACTAAGATAGGAGAATACCGGTTGATGTAAGCTACGTGACAGGTCTAGCAAGTCGGCGATGGATACAATCTCGCTATATACTAATAATCTGGATAATCTCAGTTTCCGACAAGGACACATGGCCCACTTCAATGAAGTAATCATAGTTGTGAGTTCAATATCTGGACACAGCAGAGGTGAACTTGGAAAGTTGAGTTAGTAAAGGAAAATAACTGGAACTGAGAAATCCAAAAAAGGTATGGCAGGTGGAACTAGAACACTCTACCCCAGTGGACTAAATAAAGGTTTCGGCAATGTGAGATAGAGAGAAAAGATGTTATTGAGAAAGAGAGAATGAATGGAAAGACATTAGTAATAGGTTGGGGAAAGAGAGAATGCATGTAAAAGTTTTGGGAAAGGGGAGAAGAATAGATAGAAAGATAGCAGTGATGGGCAAGAAAAACATGGGAAGGCTGAGAGAGAGAAGAGAGAGAATAGATGAAGAGACATAAAGAAAGAGAGAGAGAGAAGAAGAATGAATGGAGAGATATTGAAAACAAACAAATGACAGTGAGAGAGAGAGAGAGAGAGAGAGAGAGAGCAGATGGAAATGTCTGTCTATATTTTTGAGATAAAGTATTATAACTATTTACACTATTTACATTATTTGCACTGTTGTCCTCATCTTTATTGTCATATTTATGAAGTTTCGGCAATTGTAAGCTCCGGCTTTCTTCAGGTGATATACATTGGAATTTTGAACTGAACCCTTTATTTGATCCAATGAGTGAGTTCAATACCTGGCCCCAGCAGAGGTGAACAAAAACTAGGAGAGTTTAGATACTAAAGGGAAATAACTGAAACTGAGATATCCAGGAAAGGCATGGCATGTGGAACTAGAACAATCTACCCCTGTGGACTAAATCAAGGGTTCAGTTCAAAATTCCAATGTATATCACCTGAAGAAGGCCGGAGCGTACAACGGCCGATACGTTGTGAATATGACAATAAAGATGAGGACAACAGTCCGAAAAATACACATAGTGTAAATTGTTCAGAAATATTTAAACTATCAGCTATATATAACTACTATCTCAGTTCAATGATTAAATATGGCTACAATCGAATTAATCCTCCAGATTTTAACGGATGAGGCCATATAGATTGGCGCTGCATAATCTAAAACAAAGAGCTTTAACAAATAACAAAAACGACATCACTTGAAAACTTCCAACAACAGTAACAACTAAAATGGATATCACATAAAACTTTGTAGTGGAAGCGAAAGACTGAGACTGAAAAAGGATTAAAAGACTTATCGACGTAATAAGGTCACATGTCTTGCACGTGAAATATCCAGGAAGGAAAATGGCTACTCCTGAAACAAAATATTTAATTACAATATTGTCACGCGAGACTTTACGAGATGTTCAAAATGAACACGAAACCAAATTACTAGAGGGTTGGGATCGTTTTATTTCTCAGTTTTCAGACAAGTTACACTTTTTACAAGCGCTAATCAACTTTTTGAAAGTCAAATTTCTGTTAAGTTTGCTTTACGTATTTATTTTTTGACTTGCTTTGAACATTTTCTTTTTCAGTTTTGTTTTCTTTTTACATTGTTTGAACTTGTATTTTTTGCAACCCTCATCTAACTCGAAGCTAATTTTTATTTGAATTTTTGGTTAATCTTTTCTTTTTTTCTTGTTTTTTCTTGTTTTTTCTTTTATTCTCCCTTTCAGTTGTAAGCCAATTTTTAGTTTACTGTAACTATTTTTACTACTTTTAAGCAAAAACTTTATTTTTATACGTGTCCCTTTTTCCGTTTTAATTTTCTTTTTCTGTTATAATCTTTGTTGTTTTTAGTTTACACATAGAACCTTTTCTTTTCTTTCTTTCATTTCCTAGTTTTTTTGACAAGTTTTCCTTCTTGGCATCTGTGATTGTTGGTGTGAAATATTTATTATATTTGCTGCGGTGAGGTTTCAACCACCATGGCGAAATCTCCACGGCTACCAGTGTAGCAGGTGGAACAACTTCCAAGCAGCTAGGATTGAAAACAAGCTCTCAAAAGATGCGGGTTGCTATGAACAACCACAGTCCAAATATGAGAAATATCTAAACTGGATCCAGTTTTTAATGATTTCTGAAGCCTTAGACGCGATGACAACCAGTATGATCTCGCAGCTGATCACCGATGTAAAAAATCGGAAGCA